CAGAGCAAAAGAATCGCTCGGACATGAATGCATATACATGTATAAAGTGGCTCGGGAGTTAAGTGGCGGTTACAGGCGTGCATAACGGTACTAATGTACATTTAATGTCTTAACTTTGAATGCGCCTCGTGGCCCGCCGCGAGATAACATTTTAAATATGTTTTTGCATTTTTGCAGCCGACCGGCTCTCGCGCCGACACGTCCGCGTCGCGAGAAAAGAATGAGCGCGCTAAACGAGACAAGGAAAAAAAAGAAAGTTTTTAACGCACAGCGATCGCGAGCTCGACTATGTTCCTCTACCCTTCTCAAGACGCAGCAGCTAAGGTACTTTTTCCAAGGGATTTCCCTCTGCCTTCCCTCTATTTCTCTTTCTTTGGTAGAAAGGCTGCATCAAGAATCTACGATCTTACTGTCGACCGGGGAATACCAGAAGTTTTTCCATTCACCACAACGACAAAAGAAACGAAGTGGCGCAAGAAACGTCCTTATTTGGCTCTAAAATGACGAACGAATTTTAACGGATTCCATAAGAACTTGTCGGAGATCTGTAATAACAATTTCCGAACATTTATTAAAGAACATAAATGTGTTGATTTATGTCAATTTTAGTGAATCAAAATGTGATATTTAACAATAAAAAAAAAATGAATAAAAATATTTACTAAAAGCGATATTTTAAAATGAAAATCCTCCCCTTCCATTCCGTCAAATAAACTCTTGTTTTTTATCAATCCTAATCCTATATTCATAAATATTTCTATATATCTCTAAACGAAAAAGATTCGTGATCAATTTAGAGATTAAACTTGAGACTCTCTCTTTCACCTCTTGAAAATAATATTGACAGAATCATATTTACGATTCGAGAGAGACTTTTCCCGAAACGAGATATGACGTAGAGAGAAATCTATTACGTAACAGAAAAGTATATATACGAGCGATCAACTTGTCTTGTTACTAACGTAACATCATCTTTCATTCTGAGCGAAAGGAATCTCGATTGAATAAACAAGCATAATTTAAACGGCATTATTGTACGAAACTAATAATCACAAAGATAATATATACTGTCATCTTCTAAATATGCATTTAAAAAATTATAAAATATCATTAAAATAAATTGTCCTTAGATAAGACGACATCGAAAAAATTATCGAAGCCATCCTATTGCTGTAAGAGCGTGTTTATAGAAAATGTCACGGATCGAAAGTACTCGTAGATATTTGTTTCCTTTCACTTATTCTCTACCTCATCGTCGAAGACTGCAATTTATCATTCACAATCGTTGCGAAGTAGACTTTTATTACTAAATCGGAAATCTTTCAAGTTGTCACTTTGTAGTCCGCTTCATTCAGTCAATAGTTTCACGCTCAGATCGATAAATGTCAGATCTTAATATAATACAAAGACAACAATCCATCATAGAATTTCCGCGTTCTTGTATTAAAGAATACAATGAATCACAGAATTGTAAATTTCGGCTACATTGATTAAACGGACTAGAGAATTAGATATTGCTCGAAATTTTTTTTTTAATAGTTTTTTATAAATGGAATAAATGTACGAAAGTGAAGTTTCGAGGATATTTATACAACACATACATATAAAGAGTAAAAAATATTTTTTTATTAATAAAATTATTCTAAATACTTCTGAGTATGTATTTTAGATCTATGTGATATAAACGTAAAAAGAGTGTTAATGGCTAAAAGACGCAAAGTAATGTATTCCCTAAATAAGTGGTCTTTTGCGATAAATTTCGCGCTGTAACGCGCACTATCACGCTATTCCGCACAGTCTCATTGCTCCATTCAGAGCCGCCTGTTAAACTGACATTATTGCGCGTAACGCGAGTGCACGGCGTATTCGAATTTATTCGGTGTGCAAGCCGTCGACAGGTTCGTTCGTATGCATAGCCCGGCATGTTGATTGGCTGGCACGCAAAGTCGTGCTCTCACGCTGGCAAAGTCCGCCGTTCGTGGCTGCTCTGTGTCCCGCGCAGCACTGGGCGGATATTGCATACATGCGTTGTATTAATATGTATTTAAATTAGTGCCTCAAAGCGATACGAAATTACGGCGCTCGCTACCATAGACGGCCGCCAACGAATTACACACGCATTGCTTAGGCCAATCTTGAATGACGCTATGTCCCCGCAATATCAAGTCTTAGGAGCTCTTGCATCTCTAGGATCATCATGTAATAATTGTAAATTTAGAGTAAACTTACTGCGAAAATGCAAAATTCTTCAATTCTGTTTGTCTGTTTTCTATCCATTGAAAGCAAGAAGTATAAGAACGAAATAAATTAAACGTACATAATATCGAACAAAAATGTAATGAGAGATATACGGAATATTTTATCGAAACAGAAAAAGTTTTCAATCAGAAAATATATGTATATATAAAGCGTGTCGGATATTCAAATGATAATTGCCAACATAAAAGCGTATTATATGTATTTATTTATAGAAAAACGCTACGAATGTTTATGAAACTGGGAATAAGATGTGTACACGAATTTGATATTAACTATTCCCGTACCATATTTTCTTAATTGTACTTTTATCTCTAATACGTACCTCTATACTAATTAATAGTATAGAGGTACGTATTAGAGATAAAAAATATTTGTCATACACAATATATTTTCATAGCTTAATTTATAAAATTTAATAATCTATATCAGGATTGCAAATATCACTATGAATGAAAATAAACAATAGCAGACATATTATGTAATTCGTTTTCAGAGATGAATTGATATGAAAACGAATAAAAATAAGTTTTACATCTGCAATTATGGCCCGTAATTGTCAATGGTTGCGTTCAGCGGATTCAACTATTGCGGAGCGGATCTGTGAGCGCTCGCCTGCTATTGGTGTATTCTTTTAAATCATCCAATAGTAGCGAGCCCTCACGGATCTGCTCCGCAATAGTTGAGTCTGCTGAACGCAACCAATCTTTCGTTTGGGAGTAAGAGCTCGGAAAATGAGGCAATGTCGCTCCGTCACCCTGCCGGCGCGCCATCACGCTCTGCCCAAGTCGGCACGGGTCGCTGTTAGGCCCTGATGATATTTCTGTACATGCACGTGAGTTTAAAAACAATTGCTCTCTGCGTTTAACAGGGTTGAGACTATCCTTAAGTAATACCTTAATGCCTGCATTACAATTATTTCTTTTAATTTTTTTATTTTTTAGTTTTTAGTTTATCCTTTTTGTTATTTTTATTAGTCTTTGTTATTTTTATATTTTTGTTATTTTTTTGTTTTTATTTTTATTTTTTATTTTTTATTTATATTTTTTGGAAAATTTTAATATCTTATCATTTATTTTCGGGGGAAAGTAATTTGAGTAGTGGCATAAGAAAATTTCTTAATGGAGAATAATTCTTCTGCATATCCAAAAACATTTAATAAAATAAAAAAAAAACAGAAAAATTATGAGTCTTATTTAATTTATCATTAATTTCAATGCACTTTATATTAAAGTTTAAATATTTACAACTTTTGATAGGAGCATTTTCCAAAGAAATGTTTCAAACAAAGTTTACTTGTTTTTCCTCGTAGAATCCAAATATGTAACATTTAGAGGGGGTCCCATTTGAAACTTTAAAGTTACCCCTCCCCCCGCCCCTCTTCAAGGGGGCACGAGAGTGGATTTTTATTTACGTAATTAGAAAGGCCCCTCGAATATATGAAACTTTCTCATGAACAACTTTTTAATAGGACAAATATTTTTAGAGTTATTAGCTTGTATAACACTTTACGTGGGCCACCCTGTATGATATATTAGTATAATATATGATAACTGTGTGTCAGAATATAAATGTAATTACAGTAATTAATAAAAGGTCAATAATTGTGAACGAGCAAAAATTCTAATTTGTTCAAAATAAATTCACTTTAACATTAAATGTATTATAAAACCGAACATTTCGGATATCACAGAACCCTTCATCGGCGGTGTGAAGCAAGTTGATCTAGTTATAATACCCTCTCCCCTTATTTTTTAAAAACGATAGTCTAACGTATAAATGTAATTCGTAATTAATTAAATAAAAATAACAGCGTTTCAACCCAATGATTGAAAAATGAGGATGTCACTTTCAATTTGTGTTCATCAAAATATTTTAATATGAAAAGAGAGAGAATTTTATAGATAAATAAAATATTAGAGAGCTGATAAAGATGGTTTGTGTTGCTCATTATTTCATCAAATTAACGAAAAAATATAATTTAATTTTTCTCAATGTGGCCCACCTTTTGAAAAAATCTAAAAAAAATATAGTTTTTAGACAACACAAAGTGTTGAACAGAAATTGACATGAAATTTTTTTAAGGTCAATCAACGGAATCAGGGTGAAAAAAATGTTTAAGTTATTTTTATTTTTTTCAGAATTGAAATTCGTATTGAAAAAAATTTTTTTTAAATCCTCATTAATGTTTTGGAATAACCAATTTTTCAGAATTTTTTCAAAATTTTATTTGAACTTTTACTAAATTAAATTCGTAAATTTGTAAAAAATCGTTTTTTCGCTGTAACTTGATCAGGTCTCCATATAGAAACCTAAAATTTGATATGTAAGTGTCTTTTTATATGAGAACCTTAAAAAAAAAGATCAACTCTAAAAGCCGTGGGGGCATTTTTATCGTACTTATTCCGCTAGGTCCTTTCTGAATGAAAATGACATTTCGAGTTACATGGAGTTACCGTACTAATAGGAGGTATTTTTTTCTAATAGGAGGTACTTTTCCCGGTAAATTCGCTGGAGGTATGAAATTAACGAGGTAACAATTCGATTGAAGGTATCACTCTTATCGAACTCGCGATACTTTTCTTTTGGAGATACAAAGCTTTTCGTGCGTACCTCTTATATGCCTCGACATTATAAGTGTACCGGCAACATTCGACTATTTCGTTAAGAAATAGCAATCGCGCAACAGCGCGCGTAACCTGTGCTAACGCGCCATTGCGTGCCATATCGGACAGGTTGGACACGCGCTAGCTGTATTAAAATATACACACTATGAAACAAATATACGTTTATTTCATTTCAATTTATTGCACTGTGTGCATCAGTTCAGATAGTGCAGGAAAAATGAACAGGCCCACTTATTCACGGTATCTCAGTTCTGAAGAACCACTCGTCTGCGGCGGACGCGTCACGACGCTTTTACTTTGTATATTTTTGAAAGTATTACCGACTTGGACTGTGGGCCTTGAGTAACATATAGCTGTTCCGCGGTTTTGGACGACCCGTCCGTTCGTCGCAGCCGTGAACTTATATGAAGTTTACGTAGGGTAAGTAATTTACGTGGGGTTTTTATTTCAACGTGTACCGCCAATTTTTGGCGGTATAAGATTAAGAGTGTAGAAAAAGATATATTTTTTTCAATCATTTGGTTGTACATTCTAAAAATATCTGGAGACACGGTAATGTCTCGGCGCTAAGCACGGCACTGCCATGGCTCCTTAAACGAACCGGCGAGTTGCGCCCGATCGAGATTACAGGATCTCAATAACGGTCCAGATCGAGTTTTTTTAATTTAAACCGCAAAAATTCAACATTTTATTAAAATATCATATATTTGACAACAATCGAATAGGAATAAGACTGATTGTGAGATAAACGCAGTATGCTAAACGCCAGTAATCATCGTTCGCTCTCCCTCCCTCCCTCTCCCTCTTCCTCCCTCTCCCTCCCTCTCCTTCCTTCTCCCTTCCCCCCTCTCTCTCTTCACATTAAATTTAAAGTCCATTCGAAATCGAAAACAAAAATGTTATAAAGCAAATTTACATAAAGATAGCTAAGTCGTATCCCGTCAATGACAACGTGATATAAACAAAAATAATTTTTATTACTGTAAAAGCGAAATCTCAGCAATGTCGATACACTCGGTGCATTGGGAATGGAAATAACAAAATTGTTGTCGTATGAAAAATTTACGTCACATTCATCTTGAGATTGATGGAACACCATCGTGCAATACATCATACAACTACGGAACAACAGAAACCCTTTAATCACGAAATCAGGAATTAGTAATTACGAAACTAGTGAATGTCGTACATCATTCGAATACTCCATCGTATCATTTTAATTGATTGAATCTAAGCGCGTTACTCAATCAAACGTCAGAATTATAAAAGAAAACTAAATTTTATTTTCACTATACTTTAAAAAATATCGATATGAATTTAACACCATGCGGTGTCTATGTAATTCTCACCATATTGTTAATATTAACACCAGAATTATATAGGTGTTAAATTCATATCAATATTTTTGAAAGTATATCGTTTATATTTTTATGCTGATTCTCAGTTTGATACATGACATGTATGGATATGTAAAAGATATCTGTTGCTATGCAGCTATATTATAAGAGAAGGTAAAGAATAGTATCGGGAAACTCGTTATAAGAACATCTTAATTAGAGTATTACAAAGTTATATCAGCAGGTGTAGATTCAATTTAATACAGATATTCGCTGCCAACTCTTGTAAAACACGGAACTCAAAGGAATTTTGCTATTCTTTGCATCTCTCTCTCTCTCTCTCTCTCATTCTCTTTCTCTCTTTCTTTCTCTCTCGTTTTATATTTTAGTAGCCCTTTATTTCATGCCTTTCTTCATCTATCTCATTTCCCCAATTTTAGTCATTCTTTCTTTCACCTTCTCCGACCAAGCGTTACCGTCAAAGTAAAGTCGATATTGTTGTCTTAAATCGTTTAAAACTTAGAGAATAGCCATTATGACTAAAGCAAAGCAAAGTTTACTCCACAACTCTTTAATACATCTTATTAGAGAAGGTGTGGAAGAGACTAGCTTATTATTTAGCGATAATTAAGCTTCTAAAGGAAGATTTGAAGATATCCTCTACTTAACTTTCATTGAACGAGCGAGAAGCGACAACGTGGCGAAATATCGCACGCTGAACAGAAGATTGATTAACGCTAGATTGAAGGAGCGCAATGTGCATTAGTTCTGAGAGAGCTTACGATTTTCTTAAATAGATATTCTATCCATTTTTTTAACTTAAGTTATGTCGTACAAGAATTGTACAGAATCAAATCAAAATGTCTAATGATATTGCACGAATTTATATAAAACAAAGCGTAAAATGAAGATTTTCGTGTTATATTTCGTAAAACTACCATCACGCTCATTCTTCGCGTAATACCTAAGATTCAATTGATTTAAAGTTAAAGAGTAATATGCATCGATGTGTAACGCATAAATAGATGAACAGATTAAAAATCGAAATAACTGTACGCCGGATGGAAGATTGATACGAAGATTGGTGGGGAAATATCAAATATTCGCAATTAATTTATTATCGCAATAAATCCAGAGTTTAAGATACAATAGTGCGCAATACAATCCTACTGTTTTGCACCGATTCTAGCAGATGTTAATCACCTTTCACAGTTCATACATGACACAAACCTATGTAATTAGTATAGCATACTAATTACTCCGGGTAGTTCCCATGAGTAAATGATCGTTACTTCTAATTGTAATACAATCTCACCTTATCGAGCTATAATAACGTTTCGGCATTTATATTAGACACCCAATAATCAAATTTATCCTTGGCAGCAATGCATAATTACCGAAAATGAAGCCTTATGTAAGTTACATTCAAATACCGAAAATATGTATAATGTGAATTCTGTATTATCCTACAAATCTGGACATGATATTACGATATTCACGTAGAGATCGAAACACAAATACGAACTAAACTCGTAATATTTGTCATTGTGTAAATATTATAAATCGGAGAATTAAATTCACTAGAAACATATATACATACGTATATATTCCAACATTTATGCCCCACGGCAGATTTAATCGTGTTATATCGTATCACATATATTGTATTATTACCGCGAGTATTCTATAAATGTCCGAAAATTTCTCACGTTTAAATTCCACTATTATTAAGCATGTTGAAATATAATTCACATACCTTGGCACATTATTGTGATAATATGCAGTATACTGATAGTCAAGTATCTACTCCTTTGTCGGTCCGCCATTTTTCCGTTGATACGTCAAGCTCCGAAGTTAATCTGAAATAAAACAAAAAGTTCAAGCAATCATGAGAAAGATAAGTTAATAATCAAATGTCAAATATTTTTACATACTATACACCTGCTATAAATTCATCTAGATTTTCTTTCAATAAAATGAAGTAAGTTAAGGATCCATGGATAATATTTTAACATAATAACAAAATTATGAAAAAATTACAAATTATTCTACATCACACTTAAATATGTATAATACGACAAATTTGACGGTTCACTATCTGGATCATAAGTTATTTTAATAAATAGTAGTATATTTTTAATGTACTCTAATAAAAATGTATGAAAATGTATTATAAAATAAATGACAAAAATCTCAACTTTTTAATATAAGTATATTATGTTTTCAAGATTATTTATATAAAGTTATATTGCGATGCTTAAACCAGTTGTCTAGTAAATAAACAAAATATTTATTTGTTTTATATCTTTGTAACTCAGTGAATTGCAATGAAACTTTGCATAATTTAAATATTTAAAGTAATTATAAAAAAATTTTGACGTTTGTTAACATTTTTTTAATTTTAATTTATAACAATAAAAATAATGACAAAATAACGATAAAAATAATAACAAATAAAATAAATAAACTATAAAAATGTGTTGTTCAATAAAAACGGAATGTTTTGAACACAACTTTTATACACAGATGTCTGATTAACGGTAAAACTTACACATAGCGACAGAATGGACTAAACTGAGTCGAAAAGTCCTCTACTATTTTGCAATCTTCGCAATAGTTAACAAGATATTAATTACTAAAAATCGCTGTGTGTGTGTGAATATTGGTTTTCAATAATTTTTTACTCAAATACTATCAATTTTATAGAAAAACTATTTATTTTCTTCTCATAAAGTTCTGAGAATTTTTTTCAGAATTTTTTAATACTGTATTTTCTCATGAGAGTAAAAATAGTTGCCAATAAGAAAATGCAGTACTAAAAAGTTGATAAAAAATTCTGAAAAAAATTCTCAGAACTTTATGAGAAGAAAATAAACAATTTTTGTCTCTTGCTGTTTTTCTGCAAAGTTAATAGTATTTGAGTAAAAAATTATTGAAAATTAATATTCGGCAATTTTTAGTAATTAATATCTTATTAACTATTGCGAAAATTGCAAAATGATACAGGATTTTTCGACTCAGTTTAGTTCATTCTGCCGCTATGCTAGAGTTTAATCGTTAATTATCAGACATCCTGTATATATATAGTTTGTTTAAAGAGAGTATAAATATTAGCAAATTTGTTTAAAATAACGCCCATACATCCTTAAGTGAAGCATAAAAATAAAGTGTTCGTAAAATGATCGTAAGCAGCGATACGTATTTACTACTAATAATACAATTTACCGCGATCGTTACACGCTACTCATGTCTGTGAGATCATAGGTTATTAGTGGTCTTCAAATAACTCTATTCTATTACTAAAGGCATGATATAAATCTAGTACAATACATGATAGTGCGGGATACATATGTACATACACGTCAATCTCGCATAATGTGCACAACCAAATGCATATTGCAATGTTGCAATATGCCGATTGGTCGGAAACGCGTACAACCGTGAAATTATTAACGCATGACTAAGTCAGTGTAATACACAAAGATACAGTAATTAACAAACGTCCAATGTTAATCAGACTTATCGACTTGAAATATGTGTACTACATCGTTCGACAAGATGCAACTGTTGTTTATGGTCTTGTAATTTGTATTCCCGTTTGTACTTGATATCGGTAATGCTCCAATGATTACTCATAATACAAAGATTATATTGGCTAAAAATGATTCGATGAATTAAATGTTTATAGTTATTTGTCACATCATTAGGTAATGTAAGCTCTTTATATAGAAATATACAGGGTGTCCCATAACTCACCTGACAACGCTCGTGAGCAGGTAGAGCGGACTAAACTGAGTCGAAAAGTCCTCTACTATTTTGTAATTTTCGCAATAGTTAACAAGATATTAACTACTAAAAATTGCCAAATATTGGTCTTCAATAATTTTT